GCTCGTGCTGCGCCAGGTACTGGGAAGGCGTCTGCTTGGCAGCCCGGGCGCAGTGCAGCAGCTCTCTCTGCAGCAGCGGGAGGTTGGCCTGGAAAACAAGCGTGGGTCTGGTTTACGCAGGCTGCGGGCAGGCGATTCCAGCCATTCGCAGAAGGTTTGCTGTGCACACATAATACCTCAGAGCAATAACGCCTAGAGCCTGTGGCCCCCAGTCAGGATCCTCCAGCTCCTGGTGTCTGCACTGTCAGATTTACCCGTATTTTCTCAAGAGCTGAGGATGGCCTGACATAGGTGCACCCAAAAACCAAGTGTCACGGGAAGCACTCTAGCATCTAACTACCCCAGACGTGCTCCGTATGCCAACACTTCAAATATTCTAGATCTGAACATTTGCAAATAAGATTATAGGATCAGTAGCTGCCGAATGGAGCTTGGTTTGTCTCCTTTATCCCTAACATACAAGCAGACATATGTGGCACTCGTTTTAACGTTAGCTTTCCGCAAGCCAGTCCCACATGGCCACTGCTACGGTCTGTGCAGTCTGTCTTGGACTTCAACAAAATTGCTGTGGTGCTTGAAACAAGAGCTTTCCCAGCAATGACATGCTGCCAAGCGGCACAGACTGGCACACGGAGCGTCAGCAAGCCCCACCAGCTCCCTGTCACCTTCAGAAAGGGGATCACAAACGGCCGGAGGGGGAAGTTCGTTGCCTCTTGCAGCTTGCAGTGAAACTCCTCGATTGTCACCGTTGAGTTCTGAGAAAAGAAATTAAAAAATGAAATGACAATTTGTTCTTATTTTTAGACACATGGGAAACGGCTCCAAACAAACAGAACTGGAAGGGAGACTGCATCTGCCACTACAGGACTGACAACGTTTGCATCGGATCCTGCCTAATGCAGCCAAAAAGACTCAGGCCAGCGGAGTAGAAATGCTGCACTAGGCGAGGGGTGAACGCTGCGCACAGCCGGGCGCTGCCTCGTCGAGCATCCTCCCAGCTCCAGAGGCAGAAACTGGCTCTGGGAGGCAGCAGGACCCAGCTGGCATCTCCTGCACCCTGGCCAGGTGGCCTGGGGCAGGCTGCGGGGAGCTAGACAGCGATTCCAGCTGCTCAGAGTTGCACACCTTCCTCTCCTCCTTCCTCCCTTTCAGCTCACCTCGTCTAAGCTATCCACCATCCACGAAGTCTCCATCAGCCTGCTGCTCACCCCACTAGGACGGTCCTTCCCTGGCCCAACCTCGCATCCCCTGTGGCTGTTCAGGCTGGGTGCTCCCTGGGACAAGCAGCATTTGATAACCTGCACGTACCAAGTTCATCCCTGCAGCAATGACCGCAACCAGTGGTGAGAACGACAGTCAGAGGAACCTGGACAGCTTATAATTTCCTTTCCAAAAGGGTAAGCTAAGGTACTACCCTACACCCATGGAAATACATACGCTTTCCTTCTTCAGCAGCAGCATTTTGCATCCAGTGCTCAAGCACTGTGAAAGCCCCCGAGGCCACGGACAGACTCACATTTGCTCTGCCCACGCCAACCCTGGAAGCAGAAATGCTCCAGGCTGCTGCAGTCTAGCTACCTTCGCTGCATGCCAAGCCTCTAAAGAAACGTGCCAAAAAGCAGAGATCAGCTCGGGAGCAGCACTGGGTGCCACACGGGACCACAGCTGGGCAGGCGGCGTGGTGCTGTGCTCCAGGGTCTCAGTCCAAGGTCTGGGCTTGCACAGCATTTCTACCAGTTAGTTTGTATACCTGCAAATATTAGATACAATTCCACAGCAAGACCCGTTTGTTTGGGTTTTGATGGCTGTTTTCTGCTGTCCATAGCTGCTAAAGGGCACAAGGGCATACACACACAGTTTGCACATACATGCACTGCCACCAACCCCAAATCCAAGTGTGGGAATGCAGAAGGGCAGAAGATGTGTAAAAGTTATTTACCAAGCCCCTTCCTGTAGCTGCACTTTCAGACTGTCACAGGCATGAATATGACTGGAAGAATCATGCCTTTGGTAATGCAAATATGCAATCACACAAAGCAGCAGCAGCACACCAGAAGCCCAGACCTCCTATTTTGCCACAGCAGCCTTCCCATCCTCCACAGACCTTGGCAATAGTTAACTTTCCTGTGACAGTGGGTTTTAAGATACGCAGGAGCAGCCCATAAAGAGGAAAAAAAACCCATAAAATACATCCCTGTGTATCAATAAATGAAATCTTTGAAGTGTCATGATATTGTCTACACACTCAAGAGCAGAAAAGGACTACCAGCTTTCCAGAGTGAGTCCCTGCTAGCGACAGGACCCTGCTTTTTCCATTACACCTCACTGCCTTGCTGAGCAAAGAGCGTTGAGTTTGAGCACGCTGATGTCAGGACTCGAACTGGCATTTCTTTGTATGGAAGCAGATCAGAGGTAAACTGATCCGTGGTCAGGGTCAGGCAATCATAAATCTGCACACGCAAGAAAACACTTTCCTAGTACAAAACTACAGGCTCCTCTGAATTGTGTGGAAAGTTTCATTTACGAGAGGAAAAGAAGAAGCCCAGCATAGCCCAAGGCTTCCAGTGAGCCCACGGCACCAGACCTGTGGCCTTTATAGAAAAGCTTTGTCCAAATCCTTCCAGGTTTCCTTAAGTTTAGCTGCACACAAGCTCACGTCAAAGCCACTGGACAAACAGCTTTTTGAAACCCACCAAAGACAAGAAAAAAAGAAGTCAGCAAGTTTACCAGAAAGCATAAACATTAGAGATTCTTGCTCAGTCAACAGCTCTGCTTGTAAAGACGCAAACAGATAATATTGTGTAACGTGGGCACGTACTGGCTGCCAGGATCCCATCGCCAAAGTGATCTGGCAAAAGCAAGGCGGCCCGGGCCGGTGTGAGGGGCTTACCACTAATGCCAGGACGAGGGTCCGGACCTTCTCCCCGATCTCTGGCGAAATGTCGTTGCCAAACTGCTGCAGGGTGGTGAGGAAGCGCTTCAGCTTGCTGAGCTGCCGGGCGCCGCATGTGGCCGGGAGCTGCTGGTTCGTCAGCGAGGAGGAGGAGGAGGAGGAAGGACCGTTGCTAAACCTCTGGGGTGGGGATGGTGCCCCATTCAGCGTCGGGGGTGAATGGTTTATTCCGTTGGGCACTGCAAATGGGAGACAGAAGCAATACTGAGCCTCAGATGGGCACATCCCTGCGGTCTGGTGTTTAAGAGGATCCATCTTCCACCCAAGAGCCTGCTACTGACGGTTAATTGCTGCTAGCAAACAGGGCAAGAACCAGAAAAGGGGCTATGGCCAGAGCAGAGCCCTCACGCCATGCCAGAGGGCACCCAGCGATGGAGCCGGTCACCGGCAACATGTGTGCCTCCTCCTCAACCTTCCCCTGAGCTCGTGGGGATGCTCTGCACCCCCCAGCACGTCAGAACCACACACCCAGCCAAGGCATCTGCAGGAGTCTTCCTTATGGGATTGCTCAGGTGTGATTTACACCACAGCCAGTGACTTCCCCGGCATTTCTCTCCTCCGCTCAGCAAGCTCCATATCCAGGGCCATCAAACACCAACAGAATTCGGGCTCAGCAGAGCAGGCACACCTCTATTTGCATCCGAGGCAGCCCGGGGGACACGGGGTCAGGCTGCATAAAGCTGCCGCTGCGGCAGACCGAGCTGTGCCGTACACTCAAGCCCGAGGAATTAAATGTGCTTTAGCTCAAAGTTTACAGCCCTCGGCAAGAATTACCGATCAGCGTTTTCTGGCCTGTGTCAGGCAGAAAATTACACCAGACAATCCAACAATCCTTCCCAGCTGCATCATTTACAATAAGTCATCAGTGCTCATTACAGCTGGGGTCCCACTAGCAGATACTGCAGCTCAGGTGCCTCCACCTCACCCCGAGGAGGGCTGGCAGCATCCTGCCCCGCAGCGCCCGCCCGCCGTGCCTCCCTGGGGATTTACAGGGAGTTTCGCAAACACAGTTGTTTTTTCCAACCTGGTCCCATCTGCGACTTTGCCTCCTGTAAGCAGCGAGCATGTCGAAACAGACTGGAAGGCTGGAAGTTTGGGAACTCGGCAAGGGATTAGAATAAATTGTTGACATCCCTGCGCCGCCGTTGTGCAATCTAGAGCCCTGTCTGCAAAGCAGCTGTGGGCTGGGGCCCTAACTCAGTATAAACCCAGAATTTTAGAGATGAAAAGTACATCATCGTAAATATAGTTTTAGCTGATCCACTGGGTTATCCTTAAAACCCCAGCCCTGAATGCCTTATGGATGCAAGCGCTGAAGAGAAGGCCACAAACTATAAAAACCATTTATTTCAAACGATGGCGTTCAGAGGAGAAGCGCTGAAGCCACCCGGCAGAGCTGCCCCTTGCACGTGGGGCAGGGGAAGGTGCGTGCTGTGATGGAGCAGCAAATTGCAAAAAAAAGATGCCAAAACTTCCACTGCAGCTTCACGAGAATCATACCAAATCCTCACGACCCCAGTGAGGGTTTTTCGGAGAAGGCGGCAGGAGGTACTTGAACAGTTAAACCGCTCTGGGGCATGCCAGGGTCGGAGGCTGGAAAGGCTCCACACACCTGGACCTGCCGTGGTGAGCACAGGAGGGAACCCGAGAAGATTAACCAGAGTCAGTTAAGATGCAAGGGAAAGATAAGGCTAAAGAGACCATCAAAGGTGGTTCCTGATAACCAAGGGGTGACAGGCTCTTTGGGGGCATAACAAAGACATGTCCTTTTGTAGACGGAGAGATGATGAAACGAAGGCGAAGGCCAGGAGAGGATGGAAGTTCAGAGGGAAAGCAAGCTCATGCCTTTTGTTATGGATCAAAGCAACCTGAAAAACTCCTGTCCACACCGACTTCCCCAAAGCAGCAAAGGAACAGAGATGTCCTGCAGAGATGGCACGTACCCGCAGGGTTAGCTACTGTGGAGTACCACCAAACGCAGAGCTATGTGAGCTTCTGGCAATTACTCATAAAGAGCATTTCACAATAAAAGTGTTATAAATAGGGGGGAGAGCCGCCCAGAGAAGCTCCTCTCAAACAGCGGAGGTCTGCAGAGCTCCACACTCTCCAGCGGCCGCGATCAAGGTGCTTTACCCCCTTCTCTATTTCACTTCCTCTTTTCTTTCAAATGAAAGACTAGGGAGAGTAACAGGCTCTATTTATACCCCGGGAGAAGTAGGGGCTGTGCAACCCCCCCGGGGGCTGCGGGGGACCCTCAGGGAGGCTGTCAAGGATGGGAGCGAGCTGGGTCGGGTCGGGGCTGCCGTTAGACGCAGCCCCCGTAACCGTTCTCTGCGTTTTCAGGCTTACCCTGCCTGACCCTCCTGCAAACGGCGTTACCGCAGGGCGGCTGGCAGTTATCTGATCCTGCACGTCGCCAGGATCTGCTCCGCCACAGACCACAGAGCCGGGCTGGGACCTCTATTTCCAGGTGAGAAGACAGCGCTGAAGGAAGTGAGGTGGTGTACCAAGACCAGTGGGGTTACTGGTTTGGGGAGAGGAAGATGCTGAATTCCTGGGAACACAAAAGTCATCGTCTAGCCCTACTCTGTTAAATTCTGCCTTAGGTCCTCAATAGTTGAAGGCTTCTGCTGCTTCTCCAACCCTTCTGTTAGCAATCCACAGGCAGGCATGGCCTTCCTCCAACGTGTTCCTCCTCGCCTGCCCAAGCCGTGGGCTTTTACAGGGCAGGACACACACCTGCTGACTCTGACCAAGACCCTTTGGTGCAACTGAGAAGTAAAAAAGCAAGAATGGACTTCACCACAGGTTGCATCTCACATCTATCTTGGAAAGAGGCAATTAAGTCATCTGCAATCAGCAGATTCAGGCTCCTTGGCCCTTAACAGCATGCCAAGCAACCTCACTGGAAAAATTAATTTCTGTCACTTTGCTAATGGTCTTTTTCTGGCTGAGCAAAAGGAGAGCCATTAAAAACCCCTCAGCGCATAAAAATGGGGACAACGTGTCTGGCGGGATAACCCGGCGATTAGTGCTATTGCCAGCATCACGCAATACATTAGTGTGTGTCCTGACAGAGGCTGGATTGTAAATCTCCGAAATCCACTGCCAGCGTGAAACTGTGAGATATCCCAGACACCGTCGTGGACAGCAAAGCAATGCAGAACCAGCTAGGGAGATGCTCAGCGTGGGGGAAAAAGAGGTGAGGAGAGCCTGGAAAATAAGTATGTGCCACGTGCGACGGTCAGATAACTCCATGCCCAACAAAGTAAAGCAGCTTTGCTCCAGAATGATGCTTTTTAAAAGACATTAAATGGCTTAAATGTTGGCTAAGGGAGAAAAAAAAGACTTTCTAGGCTATAAGAAAAGGCTGTACGTCCATCCTGTCCGTGGTGTCACCTCTGAGCAACACCCTGCTAGAAGAAGTGGGTGCGAGGCTACACTACGGCTGGGCAGGACCAGGATCGACCGTGGCTTAACAGGAAAGATTATAAAGAGAAGATGGAGAAAAGAGAATCTGGATAGACAGCAAGGAATTTCCGATGCTGGGAAATTAAAAAGAGGAAAACTTTCTAATCTCAGCTGCAGAAATGCTGTCTGCAAAGTGAGATACAGCAGAGCGGGAATTAACTCCTCCAAAAGACATAGTGAAAAGCCCAGCTCTTGGCTTGTTTGAAGCCAACCTGTTAAGAGACTTCAATTTCTTAAGGAGTTTATGGCAGAAATCAAGGCTGCACCTGCAAAGAGAAGGACTCAAGGCAGCACCGGGAGCAAGGTAGGAGCAGGCAGGGGGTTGAGGGGCATCACAGACTCTGTTATACGTCCTACATATGTAGCAGAACAGCAGGAAAGCCCCAGTCCCCCCTTCCTCACAGCTGTGCAGAGTGGCTAATGCTTGCCATGCTGGTGAGCAGCCCTGGCCGATGGCTGAGACATCCATCCCTGGTGACTTCTACAAGCAAAGCCTTTCCTCCTGGCTAGAGCTGGTCCCCGGGAAAAGCAGCGTTACTGGGGTCTTACATGCAGTCGGGGTGAAGGACACCGGCCGGGGGCCACCGGGGTTCACAGGGGGCAGTGGCGGCATGTTGGGAGGAGAGGACCTGGACTGTATCTTCACTTCCACGGGCGATCCGGGCATCACTGGCACCCTCTTCTCACCAGCAACTGTACAAAGAGAAGGTGGTAATGCTTAGTGACAGTCACAGACAAGCATTTCCCCGCCCAGCACACGAAGTACAGTTACAAGGGTGAAGATGAGAGGCAGGGGGGAAGTCACGCAAGGCTCCCATGCTGCTCTGCACGGCCCCGAGCCGCCACAGGGGCTCTCCTCCCAGCCTCTTGACCGCATCTTCTCACCCCTCGTGCCTGAAGATGCTTCCTCAAAGTATTTCTGCCTGTTTGCTTTGCTCTCCCCCGATTTAAGATGCCCTCGATACTCCCCAGGCGTGCCCACACACACCTCGCCAGCATGGGGTGCCGAGGTTTCACCTCCAGCCCTGCTCCCCAACCAGCAAAAACATGCTCCAAAGCAGCCACTTTGGCAAAGAGCTCTCTGACCAGTTTTGCATGTTTGCTTTTTTAAAAAAAAAAAAAAGCGACCGAAATGGTCACAGGGTTGTAAAGATCAGCTGACATCAGCTATTCACACCCCCTCTCCTGCGTGCAGTCTCTAGTGTCTCATACATTGCCAGCTCACACCGCACCTTCTTTTTCAGCCTCTGAGGGTCCCTTCTGGGGACCCAGGCTCTGGTGGGATGTCCCAGCTCAGCTGAACAGTGTGGCCATGCTCCTGGCTCCAGTGGCTAAAATCAGCCTCAAAAGGCATCCTTGGGAAGAAACGAGAGAAAAGGAGGAAATAGGTGCTTATGCAAGCCTTGGGGGTTTTGGGGATTTTTTGCGGGGGTTTGTTTTTGTTTTTTTTAAATCCAGACAGCTCAGCAAAGAAAGCCTAAGCATCTCCAAAGCGCAGCTCCCATGGGAGCCAACACCACCCCAGGAGTGCTCCATGTCGCGCTGCCGGCAGCTCCGTCATCCGCCTAGCTGCGGAGCTCGTGACCCCGGATGATGTGACATGAGGCAAATCGCCCCTTTGAGAACGTGATCATTGCTCCCTGCTCCTCAAGCCGCTTGCCTTGTTCAATTAGCTCGCTAACGAGTTGTGACCGTGCTCCAGCATGTCCCAGTGCAGGAACACCGATGGGTTCCCAGCGCGCCCATCCGCACCCCGGCTCGGGGGGCGAGGGAGGTGCAGACACTCATCTTCCACCTCTCTCGGGTGCATGCGAGCTGGGCTTCGGACCGGTGAATTTTCTCAGGCAGTTTTTGGCTGTCGGCAAGCGGAAAAGTCTGCTGGAGCTTCAGGGCGGCAGCCAAGCACACCGCTTCGGACGCAGCAGCTCGCACACAAGCGAGCATCGCTGCTTGGCGAGGCGGCCAAGGGGGCTCCCCCTCCACCCCCTTGAAGGGCGCACGGCTGAAAAACGACACGTGCACAGGGGCTCTGTGCCACCCAGAATCAGTCCTGATGCCTCTTTAAACCACAGAGGAAAGGTATTAAAGCGCATGCTTGTAATCTAATCAAATTAAATTACAATCTAATTTGTAATCCACAGTTTTTACAAATATCTATCAGCTGTAAGAAATTCAGCTTTCAAGTTCTGGCAAAGCAATTAAATGCTGTATTCCCGTAAAGCAGGGAAGCACTGAATAGACGGCAAAGTTTTGCACTGAAATACAACCACAAAACCTGCTACTTCACAACTCCTGACAACAAAAATGCTGCTTTCAAGAGCAGAGAAGACGCGAACTGGCACCCGAGCCCTTTGTGCCGCTGGCCTGGAATCTGCTCCGTGAGCCACCAGCACCTGCTCTGCCACCACACACCAGGCACGAGCTGGCTCATTTATTTTCCTTATGGCAAGTCATCGTTAACGCCAGCAAGGTAACAAACGAAGTTTGTTATTCCTAGCATTTTTTTTGCTGTTTGCAGGATGATCTGTGGGAGGGGGAGCAGAGATGAATACATGCTGAAAATCCATGTTTTCCTGCCCCTTCAGTGCAGCTGAAATAACTGGGGTGGTGGGGCTGGAATCGCTATAAAACCTGCATCCACAATACTTCCATGGCAGAAAGTTTGTGTCTGTATTTAGTTAAGCCTGCTTTCAAAAAAAAAAAAAAAAAAAAAAAAAAATTCTAGGCTTTGCTTTCATAAGGAAAGTCGGGAGATACCAAAGCCATGGAAAACTACTATTAATTTTAACATATAATGATCATACTAATACAATATTGCAAACTACTATTCACATACATTTGGTCTAACTTTCATATGATTTAACACCGATGTGCAGACTCTCCCTGTCATATCCATGCATGAATATGACATTCAGAAGAATAACAATGTACTGATGTAGGAATATGACATCATTCATGCACGTAGGTGCCTATTCCAGCAGGTGAGTTTATTGGCAAGAATGGGAGGAGACAAACCTCTCCCTTTCCTCCCTCTCTAAATAAATGCAGCAAAATAGTCAGAGAGCAGGTTTTGTGCATGAAGTTAGGGGCATTTCTACCACAAAAAGCCTGAGTTCACTCACCTAGGCAGGGATGGGAAACGTTGCTAAATGACACAAATTTTTCAGTCAAAACAGCAGTAATTGTGCCTCTCCACCACTCGGTGCCAGCTGCCTGATGACCATCAGGGGACGGAAACATGTTTGCCCAGAATAGGGGAATAATTGCAAAACCATGAGATAATACATGAGAACCACAACCTGTTTGCACCCAGTCCCGGGATAGAGAGATGTGGTTGATGCTCTTCTCTGCAAGCTCTCTGCCCACCTCCACGCCTGCCCAGCTGCAGGCAAGCCAAGGAGAGCATCGCATCGCTCCCTGCCTGCTGTCAGCCCTTTCCCACCGCACACCCCAAATACCAGCGCACTGCCACCCGCCTGCCTCGTTTGATCTTCTTCACCCCCTTCCTACGAAACCCTCTTCCCCAGGCGTATATGACCAACCTGATATTGCCATGCTCTGGAGAGAAACAGAGCATGAAACCAATCCTTAAGGTTTCTCCTCTTTCCTCTGAAAACGCTCCCAGGGCACACTAAGAAAGCAGAACTCATTTGGTTAATTTACAGGGGGGGGGGAAGTCACATGGAATTTATAACCCCAAAATAAAACCAGCTACTGCTGGGCTACTGCATGAGACACCAAAATCAAAGCTCATGAGAAGCCAACACCTCCTTTTCCGAGCTCACTTCGACAGACAAGAAGCAAACAGGACTGTTAAATTTAAAAGCTTCCTGCTAATGACCTGGGGCATCTATAAACGCAGATAAAAAACATCTTTCTAAAACTTCTCATTTTTAGCCTAAACACATCCATTTAATGAGAATCACGTGAGCAAACCAGACTGCGAACGAGGACTTGAGTCAGCCTCGAGTTGACCTGGGGCTAAAAATGAGCCAGGGAGACGGTCCCTGGAGAAACGCCCCCGTCCTGGTCTCATTCTTCTGCATTTCACTGTTCAGAAATACTTACTGGCTCACCAACAGCAACATTTTGGCGCTGCCTCCAGATGCACAGAGAGGATGCTGAGATGCTCCTCAAAATGCCTGCAAGTCATTCCACCGTATCAGTCATCTGAAATCATGCTAAAGAGTCAAATGCCGTAATAGATTTTTGGATGGTGCTCTAACAATAATTCTTGTCAATGACTGAATACTCCAAGCGTCAAAGCAGGAACTGCCTAAACTGGAAACACTGGGTTGTTCTCCTTCAAAAACTCCTCCTTCCAAACCCTACCTGGACTTAGAAACATTTACAGATGTCGTGTCGTTATTTTTCAAGCAGTGCCTGCAGGACACAGATTGAACGCGTTTATGGCACAACACTTTTGCCGTCAAGCTGCCAAACGTCAGAACTTCACAGTGACACGTGCTCAACTTTGCACCCAGGACCTGCGAAGGTTAACCACGGAAAGAGGCATCAGTGGCCACCCGGCTGGGTGGGAGAGCTGCCTTCCCAACCTTGAATACGCTGGAGTTTCACATGGGAAGACAATTCACTCAGAGTAAAATGAAACCCGATCACGGAGATGCTGTTTTAGTCTTGGCTTGATGCAAGAATTTCATCTTCTCCAAAGCCGATGAAGCCTGAAGACCAGATTTCACAGCGACTGGAGTAACATATTTCAGATGCTGCAAAGCTGCTGTCTGGGTAAGGACAGCTGTAGGCACATATCAGTTTATGCTGCGTGCCCTATATATTCGCGTGTCCCATTTAAGGAGCCCAGGTGTGCAAGAGACTAGAAAGCCCCAGAGCTTTGAATACACCTGAAACCCTTCATCCCTCTGCTCTCCAGCGACATGCTGAAAGGCCTCGGTTTTATTTGACCCTCCGCGTTGACTGTCGGTATGCACCATATTTCCTTTGCTGCTCCAGTTCCCATCCTAGCATAACAAATTAAAAAGGAGCATATGTCAAGATTAAGTGCAGCTGATGAATTTCCTTTCTGAAGAGGAGAAAGAGCTAAGTGAGACAACAGGACAGTATGCCAGGAGAAAACCTGGGGTCTCGACTGGTCCTCAGAGAAGTCCCACTCCTGCACTCCCGGGGGACCGAGGCTCCAGCTCTCCAACACAGCAGCACATTTTAGAGGGGGCAGTTTCAACACCCTCTTGAGACAGATTTCATCGTATTTATTTTCTTTAAAGAAGTCTTCCACCTATGGTGTTTAGTACAAAGAGAGCGTTGCTAACCTCTGAAGAATGGCTAGCATTTACCCGTGTTGTAAACTGTATAAAGAAGCCACCTTATTATCTCTTCATGACTGTGGGTTTGAGAAAAGGGAAAAGGCACAAGAAAAAAAAATAGTGACAAGTTAGGGAGTATCTCAAGTACACCGGAATTTAAATTAACCCTTAAATGCCTTTGGCAATTAGAGAATACCTAAGCGATGAAAAAGAAATAAAAACACTGCATGAGGAAAATTGGATGTTACCTTCCCCCAAAAACCAAGATAAGGAACTAGAGAAGAGAGCCAGGAACAACCCCGGGGGGCAGACAGACACGAACAGTCTCCTCCCCATCCGCTTCCCAAAGTTCAAAATAAAGTTCCAACAGAGAGCAGAGTAGTATCAGGATGGAAGA